GAAGCATTGGAGCCACAAACTGAATGCAGCCCACAGACCATAGGTTGCAAACTCTTGGCCTGTGCACTTATAGCGAGCAATGTATAGGCATCTGGGAGAAGGGGATTGCGTCTTACATATCTGTATTACTATGGGATATTAAGTAGATAGGATTATTGTACAACAGTTCCTTTTGGGGAAATGATAAACAGCACATGTCGAGCAAACTTTTTATTGCCTTTTCTCCTTTTTTAAGATGCCTGATAATTTCATGCCTCCTGTCCCCATCACATCTCCAATAATGAATCCTGTGGCAGATCCACAATCCCAGATGCAGCAACCTCCAACTTCAGCACCACCTGCAGCCCAGGCTGCCTTTCAGCCTTCGCACCTTCCATCGGGACAGCCTGTTTTACAAAACCCTTTCCAGCCTATTCAGCAGCCCCTGGGGCAATCGATCATGCCCCCTGCTGTCTCAAAGCCCAGCACTGAGGGGGCACCAGGAGCCCCAATTGGCAATACCATGCAGGTAAGTGTAACTAGTGTATTCGTTAGATGATATGTTTAGATTAAACTGATAATACATCTCTTGCACTGTAACTGAAACAAGCCTCTTTCAGTCGAGGTGAGGAGTGTTTACATGGTGGTTTGCTAAATTTAGTAGTTTAGCTAAATGACTTTAAAAACTCCTTATGTTAAACAAATGCAATATTCCTAAGCAGCTGAAGCCTGAGAGAAAAGGCAGCATCCAGAAAAGAATCATCCTTTGTTTGTTTCCGTTAACCCAGATGTTAAACTATTTATCTCCTTTGTTCAAAAAAGAAGACTACTAATCCCATGCAGGTGTTTACTTTCCTAACTAGCAGAATCTAAGCGTCTGAGTTTTTAACCATCCTCCCCACTCTGAACTTTGTGTTTATAACCAAATGTTTAGTTGCTGATACACTGCATGTAATACAGTGCTTAGTCTGGCAGCCTAGACAAATGAACAGTATTTCCAAGACTTTGCAGCTTGTCACAGCTGCCCTGTGAACAGTGCACATCATATGCCCCCTTTTATCTCAGAGACCAATAATACCATCCCCACAGGGTTATCAACTTCACAGGTATGCAGGCAAGGAGTAGATAAGTGTATTCAGATTGTTAGTAACTTGGATCCAGCTTAGAATTAAAAAAATACACATAACTGAGTAAATACAACCTGCTCACACACCTCTTCTTCTTTAGCATGTCCAGTCATTGCCTACAGAGAAGATAACAAAGAAGCCTATACCTGATGAGCATCTAATTCTGAAGACCACGTTTGAAGCTCTCATTCAGAGATGCTTGTTGTCTGCCACTGATCCAGTAAGTCTCTGCATTATATCATACATTTGTGAGGTAATTTTGTGTCTGACAGTATTATACCATATGTAATCAAATAGACAACGACTCTGATTTATAACACAACCTCCCAATAATTAGAGTTTATAAATGAAAAAATTGATGGCAGCTGTGGATCCTCCTGGATCATGGTGTATGCATGAGGGCCACCTAGACCTTTGGGCAAGAATTCTTGGAGGAGTGGAGGCTGCTCAGAACTTCCATCCTCCCTTTAGGCCACTGCGACAGACTCCAAAGACCAGATGTTTGGTGCCTCCATTGCTGTAGTTGTATAAGTGTCGGCATTGAACCCAGGTCTCCTGTAAGGTAGGCAAGGATGCTACCACTGAACAACCGGGGACTCCAAATGAAAAAAATATAAATTTATTACTATCCAGGTATAGACTCTAATTATTGTAGGTCTGCCTTGAATTTGGCCCCCTCTGACTGCTGCAGCAGGAAAAAATAAATCTAGGGGGTCAGGTAACCCTTTGCTCTCTGCTTCCCCCCCGTTTTTTCCCTTGGCAGCTGCTTCCCCCTCTCCTTACGTTCAGACCCTGCATTCCCTGAGCACATAGAAATGAGAAGCAAATTTGAAAACAATAACTTTGAAATAAAGCATGGTCGTAGAAATGTGCATGTATTACCCATAGACTTAGTTCATCCAGAACTGATGCATGTTACCTTTTTTTGAAACTGCTGCGGGTTTTAGCGCAGGTACTCCATAAACACACTTTTGAGCAGCACTTGGGAACCTACTTATATGTAGTATAAAAAGTGCATGATATTAGTCCAGGGCCAGAGGCTCATGGTTTACCACAAAGTTCACTGGGCTGAGCCCCAGCAGAGTCAACAGTATTTCAAACCACAGTGATCCCACAGCTCAGCATTGCTTAGTATATGTATCCTCCAAATAACCCCAAAAGGATCCATGAGCTAATTAGCCCCCACTCATGACTGGAGGTGGTTGTTCTTCTCACTAGTCCTGGGATCCTCCCAAAATGTATATGCAAATGAGGTGCAGGACAACCTAATCTGGCTTCACTAATCATATACACCAGGCTGAGTGAACTGTTTGGGGCCCCATTTGGTGATGTTTGTCAGACATTTAAGGGTAGTGAAGAAACGGGAATCACTGGAAATGGGAAAAAAAGGCTCAGCTCAGCTGTGGGAATGAAGAGGAAGTTGAAATGTATGAAATGTAGTGGCTCACAATGACTTGGAAAAATGTAGTGGTGTGGGGGACTTTGCTTAATGAGCAGCACCATATGTCTTCCTCATATGGGCTGTAGTAACTATCCTTGTGGTCTGTTTCCATCAGTAATGTTTAGCTAGCGTGGGCCATGTGTGTTATAGTCATGCTTAGTGTTGGCTGCATTTAATCAACTTTATAGTTGGCTTCCATTGTTGAGTACATGCTGCTTTTGGCAGGAATTTAATGATATACAAGGAAATCTCACTAAATAAATTGTCTATAATTATAAGATGAGGGGCTTTTTTCCCCCATGCCAATTTGGGAGGAGACCTTCTCATGTATATGAATAAATATGGTAATTAGTGGGACAGGGTGGTGACTGTGTATTAATCAGTGATAATATTCCCTCATTAGTATAGTAATTTTTCAGTCCAAAGAATTCCAGAAAACTTCACAAACTCAAATTTATACACAGGGCCCCACATGCCACTGTGACACCACTGCTCTGAGAGTGAAGTGTAGCAGCTGTTCAGAAACGCATAGCAAGAATGTAAAATGGGAAACAAGCAACTAGGGGTGGAATCCTGATTTCACTGAAGCCTGGGGTTAAACTCCCATTGAATTCATTGAAGTCAGGATTCTGCCCAGGATCTTTTGTTTGATGTAGTGCTGAACAGCCTGACTGTCTACGGGGCCAGTTTCCAGGTCTCCATAACTTTCTTTCTGGGGGAGCAGGGCAAGACAGCACCACTTTTTAGGGAGAGAGGGAGGGAAAAGAATTCCTTTTGTCACACAACAGTAAGCTCCTTCCATGCTAGTGTTGATGGGCACTAAATGGGACTCCCTTCTTGTCTTTTTCCAACTGGAAGAACTGGGCTTGCTTTGGGAGTGGAGTGAATTCTGCCCCTGTCTCCATTAAGGGTTCTTTTCCTGTCTCTTCCCATCGTACACACAACTGTGAAGTATCCCCTACACTAAACTAATCCCCTACACTAAATTGATTCCGTATGTTATGTTTCTATTTTGCTTGCTTAATCAGCTCCTTTAACTGGGAGCAAGAAACACCATCTGCCAATGTAGATACTAGGTGAGGCTGCTGTGTATCAGCCTCTTGAGTCTGAGAGAGAGAATGGAAGGACCAGATTATTCACCAGTTCTTGATAGTTGACATGCAGTTTGTGAGAGCAAACAGAAAGAAAGTTTGCAACTTAGAGACAGGGAAGGACAGTGTTCAGTCAGCATTAAGGGAACCATAAGAATTGGCAGGGAATGTCATTTCTGTCCTCTGAAAATTGTCAAGCTTACAAATTGTGTCCAGCCAGAATAGGAATGAACCCTTCTTACAGACAGTGCTTACCTCCTCACACAGTGGCTGGACAATTGTGGGCAAGGGAGGAGGAGCAGCTGGCCAGGGATGGGTGTGTTCTTACCTCCTTACACCCTATGGCACCCTTAAAAGGATCTTGCAGCACCTTGGGTGCTCCAGTTCCCCAGCTGAGAATTACAGCTTTAAGGAAAATAGTGTAGAGGGGAGGCAGCTAATAAACTATAATAAACTCTTTGTCCTCTTCTTCCCAGTATCATGACTTCTTCGTTAAAAAAAGTTAAATTCATATTCTATCACCAACACCCTTTTTTCCCCTTCCTGTATCAGAGACATTTTTTCTAGTATATCAACATAGTCATTTGTTTATAAGTCCCATAGACTTTCTTGGGAGCAATAAATATCCCACCATGTAGTAGCAGGAAAAGCATTTTTGTTTCCATCCATATATTTGTAGGCAGATATTAGCAGACTCTACCAGGACCTGTTGTTCTAAAATTGATCTGCTCAGCAGGGGCTTGGGAGTCAGGAGATCTACTTCCAGTTGTCCCAGTGGCTAGGGTGATAGCTTCATGCCGTTTACTGAACATACACATTCACTCCATCCCTTTGGTCTTCAATTCCCCCCAACCTGGAAAATGAGAATTTTACCACATCCTGTTAAGTGCTTTGAAACTAGCATCACAAATTCTTGTCTGAGAGACCAGGTCATAAGAGGCATTTCCTTCATCTACTCATTTTGAGATCCCATTTTCTGTCTCCTTTAAATCGTGGGCTACTATACAATGTCCCACCAAACTGATTCTAAAAGGTGCCAGTGGGAATGATGATCTCTGATGCTTTTGCCATGTGAAGCAGTCACATTTAATCTCTGCCATTCATCAACCATCCATTACTCTTCAGTTCTCTGCTGGAACATACTGTTAGACTTTTTAATCCTCTCTCTGCTATTATTTAACTCAAGAATGCATTCTGATTCAGTGAAATGTATTATGTGCATCTGTGCATACGCCATATTTTCTGATGTATAAGATGCAGAATTTTTTTCCCCTGAAAAAAGAGGTCTATACACCAAAGCTGTGTAACAATGAATACATGAAATCAGTATAATAAAAGTTGGCTAAAATTCAATACATTTTATATTAAAACTTTCACCCAGAATCTTATCCTTTTTGGGAAGAGTGCATTTTATATACATATGTGTCTTATTCATTGCAAAGTAAAGTATGTTGGTTCCAGAAGGTTTTTGCAGTGGTCAGGAGAAGAAAAGCCAAGATCTTTCCCCAACAATTCTCTCTTCTGGGGCTGTTGGCTTATTTTAATTCATGTTTCAATCGTGGCAGCACATGTAATGTTCTATTTAAAACCTTATGACACTCCAGTTTTACTTTCATTATTCTTGTGTAGAAGGTCATATTTTTACAGCTGTTGGCAAACCTCATCTGGAATGAAATTCACCATCCCTCTCCCTTCAATGGCATGATGATCTTAGTGGCAAATGATGAAATTCCATCCCATCCCTAGAGTAGAAACACAAATTTCCCCGAGGTGAAAGAAAACACCATTCTAAGAAATATTTTACCACTGCTGTGGCAAAATGACCACAAATGTGTTTGTAAATTGTCTTCTCATTGCAAACGCACACTAAATACAAAAGGTGTTTTAGGGGGGGTTGGGGTTTTGTTTTTCTTGTGATAGGGAGGGCTTAATTTTCAGAGTTGCAATCAGAATTTGTTTGCAAAAGTACCTGTTTCTACTCTTAATAGCCTTGCAATTAGAATAGGTTCTGAATGAGCAAACTACATTTCTTCAATTTTTGTCTCTTGTTTACTGCCTATTCCTGAGCCCTCTTCATCATGTCTGGTTATTTTAATTTTACTATTATTTTTACGTATCGGAAAAAAAGTATTTCCCATTAATTGCAAAACCAGATTTTATAATGTCAGCAACGTCTGTGGTGACAGGTACTCATCAAACAGTTTGAAGGTGCTGTATAATGAAAACAATGCTAAGCAAGGAATCTCAGTTTCTGCTATCCATTTATGTAGTTCCTTTTGTAGCTAAAACCTTTCATCAAATTAAAATCAGGACTGTTTTCCTCAATCAAATATTGTTCAATAGCTTCATTAATTACTTGGAGAATAGAATTGAGCATATCCTTAATAAATCTGTGGACAATGCCAGGTTGGGTGGAGCAGCAGACACTTTAAAGGAGAAGATTAAGATTCAGAGTGACCTTGATAAATAATAAAAATGGTTTGAAATAAACAGGATGAAATTCAGTAAGGACAAGTGCAAAGTACTGCACTTAAGAAGGAACAATCAAATGCAGCAATGTTGCAAAAAAGGACATGAGATTTTTCAGGGATCACAAGCTAAATTAGGAGTTAACAGTGTAATTTTGATGCAAAAAAAGCTAATAGTGTACTAGGATATATTAGCAGGAGTGTTTGCAAGTCACAAGAAGTGCTTCTTCCACTATCTAGCACTGGTGAGGCCTCACCTGGAGTACTGAGTCTAGTTGTGAGCTCCACAGTCCAAGAAAGACATGGATAAATTAGAAAGAGTCCAAAGAAGAGCAATAAAGCTGATAAGAGGTCTAGGTGACATACCATGTGAGGAAAGGCTTGAGAAAGTGGGATTGTGTAGTGGGGAAAAGAAAAGACTAAGGGAGGATTTTATAACAGTCTTCACAAAATAGGTTGTTAGGAGAATGGTGATCAACTGTTTTCTGTATCCAGAGGACAAGACTAGAAGTAATGGTCTATAACTGAAAAACAGAAAACTTACGTTGCATGTCAGGAAGACTTTTCTAACTCTTTTAGTATTTGACAAAGTAGGTTGTTGCCTATGAAAGCTTATGTCTCTCTGAACCAAGTGCCACACTGCCCTATCTTCTGCCTGGCTTCAGACTAGTGTGACTTGCCACCTCCAAACTCAGAGGGTTGGTAAACACTGAAACAACAGTTTACCTAGAGTTTGAGCAAGGAGTTGGACAAGATTGACTTCCTAAAATCCCTCTTGCCCTGCTTATCTGTTATTCCTATGTTGTTCTACTTTCTTTTCTTTTCTGTTACAGCAAACAAAGAGGAAGCTAGATGATGCAAACAAGCGTCTGGAGTTTCTATATGACAAACTTAGGGAACAGACAGTAAGTTTTTTGGGGGGCAGGGAGGGGAAGGGTATTACTTTATACCTGTTGCATTTTATAAGCAGGACGTGTATTGTGCTAGTAGCTAGTGACCCTATAGTGCCAAGGTATTGGGTAAATCTATAGTAAGTGTCCCAAAGAGCTGATAGACTAAACAGACAAGATGGTCAAAGGAAATAACATCCCCATTTTACAAAAATGGCACAGAAAGGTGGTAACCCAGATCCTCAAAGGTTTTTAGGTAATTAACCAATATTGAAACCAGTGGGACCTAGATACCCTTGAGAATCCAGGCCTAAGCAATTTTTTCAGGGTCAGTTTGGCAGAACCAAGGATTGACCATGTATCTCTTGAATACCAGTCTGGTACCTGAACCACAACATTTTTCTTTAACAGCAAATATTTGTTTCCATTTATACATGGAATAATTCCAAGAGAGCTGCCATACCTGAAAATAAATGAAAAACTGGGTAACTTAATTCCACTAATATGATTTATTCAGCATAGTATTTAACATTGGTACTCCAAGCTCATGGAGATAAGATATCAAAGTGACATTGAAATCTCATGTGGGCTTTTCTGCAGTGGTAGAGAATACAGGCTTTCATTCATCTTCCAGCCCTCCTCAGCAAAGTTTTCCAGACAATTTCCCCCCTAATATTCTGGTGATTAATTGAGTATTTCCCCCACCCCCCTCTTAATGACAGCTCTGGAGTCTATTGAAATCAATTAAAAAAGACTTCCATTATCTTCACCAAATTATGGTCCAAGCCTATGATGCTTTAGCTTGCCATTTCTGATGGATGATCCAGGTTTCCACACAGTCATCATTTGAGGTCCAGCTTTGGCTAATTCAGTCTTCTGCCTTCGGTGCTTTTCTTTCTGCTAAACATTTTTGTCTTGTTGGTTTCATTGCAGCTTTCCCCCACAATCATCAATGGCTTGCACAGCATTGCAAAGAGCATTGAAATGAGAAACTACACAGAGGGACTGAACATCCACACTCATATTGTCAGCACCAGCAACTTCAGCGAGACGTCCGCCTTCATGCCAGTGCTGAAAGTTGTGCTTACCCAGGCCAATAAGCTGGGTGTGTGATGTGACCTCCTGACCTTTGCGAAGCTTATGATGTCACTTTTTCCAAAGAAGTGCATTTCTATAATAATATGTGCAAGACATGGACCAAGTATCAGTCCCTATAGCATGTTGCGGTAGAAATCTGATCCATGGCATTAAACAATTCCTGCAAAATATTTTCACCTTAGAATGGCCTTTGCGCCCTGGTGCTTTGTTTTTATTTTAGTCTTTTTTCATCCCTAATGATTCCTGTCTACAGATAGTATATTTAATGGATTATGCCCCATATTGTCCATTTTAAATGCATGCTATACTGCTAAACAGTGGCTTTTAATATACAGGAGTATCCTACAGTGACCCTACTCCTATCAAAGAAGATGATAGATTGTGTATCAGACCTTCAAACAAATTCTGTCCCTTACCTCGCTCCCTGTCATTCCTTCATATCCACCAGATTAAAGTGTCTGATCCTGTTTTAAATGTATTTGGTCTTTCATTTTTTTTAGAACTGCTTTCAGTTCAGCCCAATAAAATTAGATGTTGAACAGCTTAATTTGGCACTGGATTAAATAAGAAAAATAAAAACTTATGTGGTATTTTCAGTAAATGTTAATTTATTAAATCATTTGTTCTGAAATGAAGCTTTGGGAGTTGAACATGGAGCTAAAGAGGAGCATTTTCCATCCCACTGGAAAGTGATGGACATGTTTTCTCAGTGTTCAGGATATTGCAGAGCATCTTACGCAAAAGAAGAATTAAAGTTCTAATCAGAATTTACGTTGAGACATTTGCATTTCCCTGAGAGTCTTAGAAGAACATTCAGAAACATCAACACCCATTTTTTAATGATTTCACCTCTTCACTTATAAAGTGACCTGAGTTGCAGTCTAGAGAGTTGGACATTTAGCACAGAAACAAAGGTAATTTATTTTTCCTTTAGACCCCTGAATTTACAGGTGGCCATTTCTCCATCTGCCGACATGCCCCAGTGTGCTTTGTCCTGTGACCTCATAACTGCCATGGAGCTGGCTAGGGGTGAGTCAAAGTGATGCAAGATTCATGTGTTTTAAATATCTACTGGATTACACTTTTCAGGGTTTTGTTAATTTTACTGGACTTTTTAAAAATTGAAAAATATGTGAGGAATGATAAGTAAGCCTAGTAAGGGCAACAATTACTAGAGTCCCTGATGCAAGAGGCCAGTAATTTTTGCGGTGATCTCTTGTATTGGACCAACTTCATGAGTGGAATAAAATTAGACAAACTGTCGAGCACACGACATTCTTCATCAGGTCTGAAGGGAAAAGCCTTCTCCTCTACAGTCCTTTATAAAGGAATAATACCTGTAACAGCAGTTTAGATGTATGGAAGCTCAAAACGATGAAGGCAGTACAGTGGAAAACTTGTGCCTTATCTGGTACCAAGATTTTTGAAGGCAGGCAAAAACAGTAGGTTTCTAAGGACGCGTTCAGGCAGTTATATAAAGGTGACTTACTGAGTGTCAGATGTTGGTGGCCTGGTGTTTTTTAAAATCATGTAAAGGAGCCAAATGTCAATTTCCTCTACTTTTTTGAAAATTC